TCCTGAGGACCACACGAACACGATGGTACCAATTTCAGGTGAGTTTCACTTCGGAAAACATGGATTTCAATTTCACTGTGCGTGTGCACTGTTCATGCACACGTAAAACTTGATGTTTTTGGGATTTTGAAGCTTGTAGGAAGCTTGGTGATGTCCTAAGGAAGCTCGGAGTGCTTCGTTTGAAGGAAATGGACGTCGGGATCACGAACTGTAAGTTTGGCCGGAGCTTTTGGGGCTTTTTCCGGCGAATCCACGCCGAGTTAGGGGTCAAGGCAGGTATGGATGTGTTCTTCTCGTCAATACCTTCATTTTGATATAAAGAACGTCGAAAATGGTTAAGAAATGAAGAAGTTATGACACTTTGAAATTTACCCAGAAATTCTGGCAAAACACCCACCTCCGGCGAAACCAGTCCGGCGACGCGAGGAAGAAGACGCGCACGTGGGCAGCGCGTAGACAGGGCGCGTGAGAGCTCCAAATTGAGTTCTAAAAATTGTCACGTGTTCGTGACGTCGTGTAGATCACCGTGGTATATTCACATACCCAAATTGAGCAATGTATGAGAAAGTTATTGACGAATGTTTGGTGTATGTGCGTTAAATAACGTTAATTTGGTTACTTTTTGTATAGGTGAAAATTATACAGAAGAAGAATGTAACCAATCTAGGGGAGGCTCAGGGACCTACGAGACGTCGATGTGATCTGTGAGTGGGCAGTTTTGTTTTCCATATATATATACTTGACGTATTTCCCAGAAAACGTATTTTAAAAGAAATACGAATTAAATATCCTGTCATATATGCATCGTATTTTAATATGTGCATTACCATAATTATGCATACTGTTGCATGGTGCTGAGGAGGCCCAGGTAAGCTACATTTGATATACGTATGAAATACATTTTATATACGTATGAAATACATTTGATATACGTATGAAATACGTTTGGAATACGATTGAAATACTATGGAAATACAAATGAATTATGATTGTGATATGATTGAAATATAATTGAGATATAATTGAGATACGATTGAGATATTATGCTGATAACGATCATGAGATATGATTGAGATATGAAGAATGATATGATAGAGATGTGATAGAGAGCTCATAACCTGCACCCCCAGTATGAGTGCTCCCGCCCTGAGCAGGGCACAGCCTTCACGTGATGTTCACCTCCCCGCACCTTATGCTCAGCTTGGATCCAAGCTAGGTGCACAGCCTGTCGTACAGACCACATTAGGTGGTTCCGACTCGTAGGTGACCCGCGATTATTCGCCCAGCTTCACGTGATCGTAGCACTAAAGCATACACAGCCTGTCGTACAGACCACTTTAGGTGGTTCCGACTCGTGGGCAGGTTCAGTTGTTTAGTTATTGAGATTGAGATTTGAGCTCTAGATTCAGCCGTACAGGTCACTTTAGGTGACTCCGGCTGCCAGATTATATGTTATTGGTACGGTTTATACCTGAGCACTTGCATATCATTATGAGGCTTTGATTGACATACCTGTGAGTGTGATTGGCATACCCTTGAGCTTGATTGACATATCTATACATACGTATATATGTTTATTTTATGGGAAAGTATACAAGTTTTACGGAGAGGGGTTACAAAGTTTTTGAGAGGTGTTTGGATTTGGAAAAGATTTGTTTTACTGACCCACTCAATTTTGGTTTTGCGCCCCTCCAGGTTCAAGAATTACAAAGGTGTGGTGACTACGAGGAAATTCAGCGGTGTTCTGACAGAATGGACCAAATGAGGACTCACCTTCGGGTGGTTCATCTTAGAAGTTGTATATTTTAAAGTTTCCGAACTGTGTAAATGGTTACGTCACTCTCACGTGACGGCCAGCATACCCTCCTTCGGGACGGGGTGTGTCAATTAAGAACAACACATCAACCTGAGCACCACATTTTATAAAACGAATTGAAAGTATGAAAAGTCGTGCCATCAAGAAACCTAAAGGGCTTTATGTCTCCAAATCACCAGTTTCAAATCTGGAGAGGGTTAACTTTCTTTCATTTTTTCTGTTCTTTTTCATACAAGCTTCTAAATGATGCAATCCCAAATTACCAGCATAATCCCCCCCATCAATGATCATGGAATGATCAAAACCCACTTCATAGTTGACCACCTTGGAATACTCAGAACCCAAAACACAATCTTTATTCTCGGACTTCGAACTTAAGAGCATAATTATTTGTTGAGTGCAACACTTCGAACATGTGGCCCATGTGAATGCCAACATTTCTTTTGGAATTAACATATGTTTTACATTAAGAATGAAACTCACGTTGAAACGGACCGGAAAATCTATAACAATTCCATTAGATAGAGAAAAACTAGAAGACTTGAATCTTTTGTTCATAGAATTAACCATTTTGTACCCATGATTTGTGAAATTTGACTTTTGCACATTTGATACAAGTAATTCAAAACCTAGAATGCAAGTAGAATCAAGAAGTGGCCTTGTTGCTGGTACCAATGATTGAAAGCCAAGAATTGGTTTAGAGGCTTGGCGTTGCTTGTCGTCGTGGTGTTTGTTGCGAACCTTCTTGAATTTCTTCAATTTGGGTCGCAAGCTAAGGCAACTCTTGCACTTGTATCTTTGACGAAATTGAGAGAATAACTGATTTGCTCTTTTTCCGGCCCGAATCTGTTACTCGTGGAAGGATTGAAGCTTGAGACCGAATTGATTCGATTTCATAAGAGAGATAGGAGATATCATTTTAATGAACGGCTGACGCACCAGTGTAGCTGCAGAAGATTCACAACTATATTTTGCCATAAGCAATTGCAATTGAAGAAGAATTAAATCCTGGGTAGTCTTGAATTCGTTTCGGAATTTGTCCTGAGAAGTCTTGAATTTATCGAACTTGGTTTTCAGATTGGAAACTCTAGATTCCATGGTCTTGCACGACATTTGTCACGTTCTACAACGGAGGAGGATTTTAGCTGATACAATGTTAGAACCTAGCTCCACATCTTCAATGGTTTTACAGAGAAAAGGTATAACACAACCACAAGATTTTAGCTGAAGTTAGAACCTAGCTCCACATCTTCAATGGTTGCACAGAAAGAATGTATAACACAACAACAATATAATTCATTAAATGTTTTGCCTTCCTTTACAAGCTACAATTTATCTCCTAACAACCCATCTTCAAACAACCAACTAATAACGAGCTTTGTAAACTTGTCACTATCTTATTGTGCCATCTGTTATGGTATCCTAACACGTGTGTGTGAGACGTGTAAAATGGTGTCGCACCATCTTTTTGTTTTCTTTTTTTGAGCAAACAATATTATCTGTGAGAGGTGTAAAATGGTATGGCAACATCTTTTTTTTTGTTTTTTTTGAACAACCGATATTATCTACACTAAGAGAGATGGGGTAGGCTTAGCTTCACAATGAGCTAGCAATAATGTGGTTCAAAGTCGTCTTTGGCGAAAATCGAACCTAAGACCTCTCACTTACAAGTAAAGAGGAATACCATCCTTTTTGTTTATCTTAATATATGACTAAACTATTTATAACTAATATAAATATTATTGATGTATTGTTAATATTATAATTTTGGCTAAATTACACAAAACTACCTTAACTATTGGTCTCACGACACTTTCATACCTAATCTTTTTTAAATGATAATGTCATACCTTATCTTACGAATTTGTGCCAATGTTATACATCTGTCAATTTTTTCTGTTAAGTGCCGGCGTGTCTACATGCGGATCCACTCACTAATCCAACTGGATTAAAAATTATTAAATATATGTTTAATAATTAAAAATTAAAAAAATAATTTTCTTATTTTAAATCTCTCTCTCTCACATCCCTTCCACCCTCCCCTCCCTATCTCTCTCTTTTCTCCCCTATCTTCATCTTCTTCCCCCTACCTGTAACCCAGAAAAAAAAAAAAAAAAAAAAAGCCCCAAACTTCCCCGACCCCTTCCTCTTCCCCTCATCCTCTTTGCTCTTCTCCCCCATCTTCCTCTTCTTCCTAATTCGTCTTCTCCCTGCACCCACCCTCTTCCCTCCTCTACACACCCCACTCCTTAAATCCACACCCATTCCCCCCATTTTCTCTACCCCCAGGTTCTCCACCGGTGGAATCAGCTTTTGTCAGGGTAGACGAGATCTGAGTTTTTTTCTGGGGTTATTTTTTTTTTTCCTATTTTTTTTGTTTTTTTCGTTTTTTGGGTTGCAGGTAGTGGGTGTGGAGGGTTTAGGGAAGACTGGAGGGGGAAGAAATGGGTGGGTTGCAGGGAAGGGGGGGTCAAGGAAGATGAAGATGGTTTTTTGTTTTTTTTTTTTTTTTTTTTTTTTTAGGTTGCAGGTTGGGCTCAAGTGGGGGAGACGAGGAGGTGGGGAGGGGGGAAGACAAATTGGTCATTTTTTTCTTTTTCTTTTCTGGGTTGGAGGGAAGAAGATGAAGATGGAGGAGAAGAGAGAGAAAGAAGGGGGGATGAGAGACGAATTGAGGTTTTGTTTTGTTTTATTTTTTTTAACTTTTTTTTATTATTTTAATATTTAAAAAATATTAAATGATTTTTTTTTAGTTTTTTTTTTTAAATTTAATAGAATGTGGTTATAGAGCAAGCCACGTCAGCACTTCACTGATAAATTTATGGCCAAACTAACAGAAGGTATAACATTAGACCAAATTCGTAACATGAGGTATGACATTGTCATTTTAAAAAGATGAGGTATGAAAGTGTCGTGAGATTAATAATTGAGGTAGTTTTGTGTAATTCACCCTATAATTTTTATTGATTTTATACAAAATCACTCTAAAAATAATGAACAAAATATATTTAAAACTAAAAATAAAATATAAAAAATACATAATTTGAGTATACAGTTATAAAACATTTGAATATTTTCAGAATGGAATTGTTATTACCACTCCAAAAATCTCATTTTACACTCCAAACTTTCTATATTAAAAAACAAAATACACTTACATGGAGAGTATAAATGAGATTTTTAAAATTCTAATAACACTTCCATCTTAGAAAGTAGTTCTTATAGGACCCTAAACAGGCTAAACTGAACTGAATCTGGAGCTCAGTCTCTCAGTTACCAGAGTTCACTGGTTGTTATGCCATCTTACAATCCCCGCCAATTTTTCTCTCTCACCCTCTTCCTCTTCAAACCAAACCCTAACCTCCATCTTCTATCTCGCTCGCGGCGATTCTTCTCCAACCAATCATGGCTCTCCGTACGCGGCAATCCCATCATCAAGTGGCCCGCACCACCCGACGTACCCTGCTCCCTCCCGCACGCAAACCCCGCTCCAAACACAAACCCTAACCCTAGCTCCGGCCCCAGTTTTTCACCGATGGACTTCTCCATCATCGCTAACTTGCTCACCGACCCAACCATTTCCCCCGGTTCATCGCTCCAGAGCGCATTGGACCGGACCGGAATCGAGCCGGATCCGGGTCTGGTACAAGCTGTGTTCAACCACTTCGATTCGTCGCCCAAATTGCTGCACACTCTGTTTCTTTGGGCGGAGAAGCAGCCCGGGTTTCGATCCTCCGCGAACCTCTTCGGGTCCATGATCAATGTGCTGGCAAAGTCGAGGGAGTTCGACTCCGCCTGGTCTCTGATTCTCAATCGGGTCGGAGGAGATGAGGAGCCCGGTTTGGTTTCGGCTGATACGTTTGTGATCATGATTAGACGGTATACCCGCGCAGGTACATTGCTATGTGATTTTATAATTGTACTTAATTGAATTATGTAATTTAAATTTTGAGTTTAGTTATTGAATTTACTCGTTCAATTGGACATGTGGATTTTGAAATGGATTGTACTTGGTAAAGATTTAGTTCAATTTTCGATTTTACGTGTTGGTAATCTCAGCGTAATTTTGGCCCCGCACTATGTGAAACAGATTAAAAATATGAACTTGCACCTGCTGGTTAAGTGGGGTAGCCTGAAGTTACTGAATCATATTTGTGTTTACGGCATTGATGCAGGCATGCGTAATTTAAAATCATATTTTGTGTTTATGGCATTGATATCGGGATAAGTTCATTTGATTTTAAATCCATCATCTTTTTCTCTGTGGTGGTACATTTATGCAGGCATGCCCGAATCTGCAATTCGGACTTTTGAGTTTGCGAGTAATTTAGACTCATTTCTCAACTCTGAAGCAGAAATGAGTTTGTTTGAAGTATTGTTGGATTCCCTTTCTAAGGAAGGCCTCGTTAGGGTGGCTTCAGAATACTTTGATAGGAAAAGGAAGTTGCATCCGAATTGGATTCCATCAGTTCGTGTTTATAATATACTGCTGAATGGATGGTTCCGATCAAGGAAGCTGAAACAGGCAGAGCGGCTTTGGGTGGAAATGAGGAGGGAGAATGTGAAACCTAGTGTTGTAACGTATGGTACACTTGTGGAAGGATACTGCCGGATGCGTCGTGCTGAAATTGCAATTGAGTTGGTGAGCGAGATGAGGAGGGAAGGAGTTGAGCCCAATGCTATTGTGTATAATCCAATAATTGATGCGTTGGGGGAAGCTGGGAGGTTAAAAGAGGCGCTGGGGATGATGGAGCGCTTTTTGGTCCTGGAATCAGGCCCCACTATTTCAACATACAATTCTCTGGTAAAGGGCTATTGCAAGGCTGGAGACCTTGTAGGGGCTAGTAAGATCCTTAAGGTGATGATAAGTCGGGGTACTGCCCCTACTCCAACAACCTATAACTACTTCTTTAGGTACTTTTCAAAGCATGGGAAAATTGAGGAGGGAATGAACCTTTATACCAAAATGATTGAATCTGGATATACCCCAGATCGGCTTACTTTCCAACTTTTGTTGAAGATGTTGTGCGAGGAGGAGAGATTGGATTTGGCAATTCAAGTTAGCAAGGAAATGAGATCTAGGGGATTGGATATGGATTTAGCTACGAGCACCATGTTGATTCATTTGCTTTGCAATATGCATAAACTCAAAGAGGCTTTTGAAGAGTTTGAGGACATGATACGGAGGGGTTTAGTTCCTCAGTATATTACTTTCCAAAGAATGGATGATGTGTTGAGGAAACAAGGAATGAATCAAATGGCTCGGAAGCTGTGCAAAATGATGTCTTCTGTTCCCCATTCAACAAACTTGCCGGATACATATGTCAGAGATGCAGATGCATCTCGCGCAAGGAGAAAGTCTATAGTTCAGAAGGCCGAAGCAATGTCTGATTTGTTAAAAACTTGTTCAGATCCAAGAGAACTTGTCAAGTTTAGAAGATCGCCTGAAAATCTTGTATCGAGAGCGAACCAGTTGATAGAGGATATTAAGAGAAAAGCTAACATCCAGTGATCTTGACTTTCTTTTCTTTGGTACTAGACATTAAGTTTTGGATTCTGTTGGCATTCTTCGCGAGAAAGGTGAGTTAACTGCAGGTGCAGTAGAAAGGCAGTTGAGAGTTATTTCAGGCAGAAGTAACAAAACAATCTTTATTCATGTGCCGATTGGTAAAACTTTGATATTTATATGGGAAAACCTGTGGGGCAACTACTTTTGGAGGATTCCTTTCATGAATTGAGATTATTAGTAATGTTAAACTTCTTGCAATTTAGATGTGAGTTCTGAATCCTAATGGGCTTCTGTTATGAAGTCAAGTGGTTTGAATACAGGTTCACTACACGTACAAGCTAAATTGTACGGGTGCAAGTAAAAGAGAGACCGAAACATAAGTTGAATGTGTGTTCAAGCTTTGGTGGGATAAAATTTCCAGATGTATCTAAGATGCGAAGTGGACTAGTGGCGAGGGGGCAACCAACAATGCTTCTTTTGTTAAAGTTAGTGGAAGCTGGATTTTGGAGTCTTTTGGGTTCCGGCATACCCCAAAAGGATGGTGAGGTCAGTGTTTCTGGTAAATATGCGGCAGTCAACCACTGAAACACACACTGTATGCAGGTAAATGTCCAACTGTTGACGTTTTAATCAAGAATATATTATTTTCGGTGTATTCAAGTCAAACTGCTTTAGTTGGATTATGCTAAACCTAAATTAAGAATATAATATTTTTAACACATTGGTAAACATGTTATTTTTAACTTGCAGTGGCTAATAACGTAACTTGAAGGATAGGGTGTGACATATAATAGTACAACTGATATATTTCTTAGACTTTTTCTTTGAACCAGGCCTTGTTTGCATGTGCATTGGATTTTTGCATTTAGAGTTTGTCGAAGGGCTTCAAAGAACACACATTAACGGGGTATGGGTTGAATTGAAGACAAATTGAAGTTTTTTTCTCGTATTTGTAAGTGGAAATTGAAGAAGCTGAAGAACCCTAAAAACGTAGCTACCTGCCGTTCTATGTTTTTGTGGGAGTGTTGTATTTTACTGGCAGCTTTTCTTTACAATTTCTTTTGTTATGGACAAGGCATTTTCATCATTTGATAAGTTTGGTGTTTAGAGGATTGTACAGTGTATACTAGATGCTAGATGAAGTCTTATCCCCGAATATATCACCACCACGGTGTCTCGTGCCATGTAAGTTGCTCTCTTCATCCCAAAGAAATTTGGATGACTAGGTGATTTTCAATTCGAATAATTTTCTGTATGGACGATCTTTAAGTGAAGATTAAGAAGTTGAATGATTTTGATTATGAAATTTTTATAGTGAATACATATGTTATTCGAAAACATGGTGGAACGCAAGTTTTAGTATTGTGAACAGGAAAGTGATTTTGATACATCCTTTTTAGCTACTCACACTTCTTTATTAATGCCCATCGGGTGAATAAATCAAATTAAATCAACGGCCAAGATTAAACAGTGTAATAAGCTGAAATGGTATGTGAAAATCACTTTCCTTGCAAAAAATTTAGTATGCTACGACGTATAAGAGGGAGTTTTTGTCGTTAGATCTGTCATTAGACTTTGATTAAAAATCTAACAGTGAAAATTTTTGGCATGTAGATAATCTCAAGAGGATTGTACAATTTGTGTTACATGTTAGATAATGTATCATCCCTGTGGAAGTTGGGGTCAAGTTGGATGAATCTCAGAGTGGTTTTTGCACTTATTTTGATCGTGCTAGTCAATCATACTTGAAGAGACCCTGTATGAACAATTGGATTGGATAATGTATGTCTGAGGACCAATTTACAGACAAGTCTCAAGAGATCTGATCTGATTTGGATTGTCAAGCGATTTGTTTTCAGCCAACCCCAACATACTAAATGAGTGCTTCCAATGACAAAACACTGACTAGTACCTCTTTTCCTAATAACAATAAAGATAAACGTATGATGCAACGACTATTTTAGTGTGACAATAACAGCTCCGTGCCCTTATTTTCGAGACATGATTGTATTTCTTCTTGACTCTCTGTTGTATGCATAGCAGCATCGAAGCCAACGAGCGAAACTTTGCCATTGCCATCACAAACGACTGAGAGAGAGAGAGTTAAACTACTAAATGCATGTGGAATTCTACGATGTTTGAACAACTCGATTGAGTCAGTTAAAATTTAATCATAATCTAATCGTTTAATACGTTAATGCATTTCACATATCGGAGTATTGTAAAATTTTATGGAGATAATTTGAAAGATGGATCTTTTGAGTGATGGAGTTGGGGTGGAGGGTTCGGCACGGTGCCCTAAGTCGGAAAACGACGGCATCGGGCTTTTCGGTTTGATGGGCCTACAGTCAACAAAATAATTGAGATATTCTTCCCCCACTCCACTCGTCGTGTTTTGCTTTTTTCCACCACGTTTTAGACCAAACCAATTCCCTTCTCTCTCTCTGTCTCTCTCTCCCCCCTCCTTCCCCTCATCTTTTTGTGTTTTGATTGAATAATGACATCAGGTTCACCCAAAAAATAATAGTTATATTAAACTCAAATATAGTTTAGTGCAGAAAAGGTGAGTTTTGATGTCTTTTTGTAAAATACACATTATACTTCCTAATATGATTGAGACATGCATTGTTTTTTAATGAACGCTACTTAGCTGCATATCAATGCGAATCTCTTTATCCATTTAGTTGTAATTTTTTATGGGTGTGCTATTTACACACCTTATTTTACTTCTCGCACACCTTTTGATAATTTCTGTCCGTTGATCTTCTTCAATTTATTCAATCCGACAGCAGAAAATTCAAAAAGTGTGTGAGAAGTAAAATGGGGTGTGTGGATATCACATCCCATTTTTTATGTTACACATTTTATAATCGGTATTATTAGCACTTTTGGCGAAATTATTTTTTTATGATTTACTTGCATTTTTACTAATTATTGATTCCAAAAATATTTTTTTTCAATCATTTTAAAAGTATTTCTCAAACGAGCCCTTAGATATCATTTAGTCATTCGTACGTACCTAATAAATTGATTGTTCATTTATTTGGTACATGTGGACACGCACCAGTGTAGAGGCGGAAATCGTCTAAAAGGCAGTCAAACACTGGTCTCGACTCAATTGAGGTTTCTCTAATTTTGTTCTATTGTGTGCATATTCATATATTTTATTATTTATAGAAATTTAACACCTAGGTGCCCTTGGGGTCTAAACCTATGTGTTTTACTTTTTTAATGAATAATCTTGTCTTCTTTTGTAGCATCACATATCTTAGTGGTTTTACCATTTGATTTCATTTCATGAGTGATACAATGCACAAAATGGTGTGAATTATGAAGTAGTATTCTCTTTCTTTTTTCTCTCTTTCTCTCTCTTCTTATTTGAAGGGTCACGAATAAGTCACGTCAATATTTTACATTAATTTTTATTTTTTTTATATAGAGAAACAAAATAAAAAATGTGAGAGGAGAGGAGAGGAAAGAAGGGGAGGAGAAAGGATTATATGCATATCAAACCATTTTAGGATTTATAGGTTCACATTTTTATCCAAGAGCTAAAACCTAGTTTTCATCAATTTTTCTTCTTCCAATGCGTAGAAACAAAAAATTGATAACAAACCAAACAAATCCCAAATACATATTTATGTTACCTTAAGGGCAACTCATATACCTATATTGATATAACTTTTAAATCTAAATGGTAGATAATATGTAATTACTCTTAAAATACTCTAATTTTCGACAAAAATAAAACTACGCTAATTTACAAAGGGAAAATTTAAACTTTAGTACAAGAAGACAAACACATGCCATAACAACCATGAATTGAACTTTCAAAGTTATAAAACATCAAAGAGTATATGGGTTTTTTTTTTTGTTTTTTTTTTTTTTTTTTGTTGAAGAAGATATGTTGTTAAATGTAAGAACATAAATTTATGAAAAACAAAAGGATGCTTCGTGAAAAAGCTCGAGTGGGAGTGAGCCACGTTAGTGCATACACACAGAAACACAGCCTCTCTCCGCACCTATCCATCTTAGCTCTCCATTGCTTCTTTCGTCAGACTTGATAATTTCTTACACAACGTGTTAACACGACACAAAAATAACGAGTTTCAGGTCAACACAATAACTAATCGGATCATTATATGGTCATTCATTAAAAACCCGTTATTGATGAGTTTACACATGGATAACCCGTTGAGAAAAAAGTTAATTTGATAATTTTAAACTACTGAAAAAAAATCTTACTAGTTACTACATAAATAGCTATAGTACTTAATCTCACACCTAAGTGTGATTAAAAATTTCCAAGCACGTTAAAAATGCAAAAGCCTGTCAAATTTTTCATAATAATACATTTAAAAGTGTGAAAAATATGAAAAAAAATATGTAAACACTCGTGATCGCATCTCTAACGCTTTGACGATGGTTACATCGTCATTCGAATTTATAAAACCCTACAAACCCTCATGAATATTGTTTTTAGAGGGAATTCAAAATAAATAAAAAGTTATAATAATTAATGTACAAGTTGAAAAAATGAGAAAGAATATATAAAACTCGTGATTGCATCGTCTGCGCTTAGACAATGGTCACATTGTTGATCTTTAAAACCCTCCAAACCCTCATGAATAGTTTTTTTGTTTGAGTGCAAAACTAATAAAAACTAATAATAATTAATGTATAAATATGAAAAATATAAAAAAAAAATTGAAAAATAATATACAATCACACATAATAACAAGCTTTACAACTTCCGTAAAGGGCTTAACCTTGAAATCTGACACCATAATCCACAAACCTTAGATTTATATTTAACCATCGATTGTCGTTTAATCTCTATTCTTCTCACCAGATTTCGTTTTTCAAATCTTCTTTTATGAAAATATGATCTTTTAGCGGATGTAGAAATATAACAGTTCAGATTGTTGATATCATGTTCCCATGTTTACAGTTAACTAAAATATGAGTCAATGTTATATAGTTTCTAGAGACTTTATAAACTTCGAAGAATAGTTTCACTAACCGTAAAAATCTAAATGTAATACCAATTATCCGAACCATTCATCTTTTAGCATCCGCTAAAAAATTATCTTTTAAATAAAGAAAATTCAAAAAAACAAAATTCATTGAAAATAATGGAGCGTAAACGTAAAGGTCAATCTACAGTTAATTTTAAATCTATGGTTTATGAGACTATAGTGGTGAATTTCGAAGTTGAACTTTTCCCAAAAGTTGTAAAGCTTGTTATTACGAGCGTTTGTCTATTTTTCACATTTCTACATTAATTAAAAAACTATTAAAATAAGATACTACACTAATAGCTATAGGATTTACTAGCAATGAATACCTGCACGATGCTGTGGGATTGAAAGAAGAATGCAATATCTTGACATAAAAGTAACTACAAAGGAAATTAACAGTTTGCACCATTGAATCGAACTAAAAACATAGTTATGCCACTAAATCTCTCCTTTCAAAATTACAAATCATTGTTTACATGGTTCGCTGTAAATAGTAGAATTCAACTAAATACTTTCAATAAGAACAACTGAAGACATCTAAATGGTAATATTGTTAATTACCAGTCAATTTCCTCGCATTTATTATCAAATGCAGATGCATCATCATACCATCTATGCTGTTGCATATCATCATCACCAGAAAGTTGATCTCCTCCTAGAAGCAAAACCCCCCAAATCACTAAAACAAAATTTGCACAAAAAACCCATTTGGAAAATTTACAATTCTAAAGACATAATATTCAAACCAAAAAATGACCAACGTGAAATTGGCCAAAAAACTCATCAAGAAATCCAACCTTTTCTAGGATTAAGATTTTCTTTGAATGTGCACTAGATTTGCGGTTTTTAGAAGATGTTCTGTCACGCCCCGATCCTGACATACATTCAGGATCAACACGTGACATCACCAAATACTCGTACCTCTAACTTACCCCACCTACGGAATATGGCAAAGCACAACTCGAGAATTGAATCACATAGTAATTTTTCGTTTACTTTATGGCTGAATCTAATCTCTTCGTTAGACTACCTACATACCCTAAACAGGGATCAAGCCATTCGTAGTTAGTCATTCGTCAAACTCTAATCTTTCCGTAAAACACTTCTAGCAGAAATCATAGAGTACCACCCTACACATCAACCACACGCCAAACAACAATTATCACCTTATCATGCACGCAGGTATGCAAACCCACACCTATGCTTTCCAACTCATCCATCATATTAATCACAATGTTTCACATAATACCACAATTCTTAGTATGCAACATCTCAAAGAACAATC